ATCGAGGCGTTGGAGGCCATCGAGGCTGACTCTCAAATTCACTTTATGATACACAAACAGGGCCATGCATTTTATTAATAACAATTTTTAATTTTACATAGAGTCTTCTTTCAAAAACAAAGTAGAATACAATAAAAAAAGAAAGAGAGAGAGAGAGAGAGAGAGAGAGAGAGAGAGAGAGAGAGAGAGAGAGAGAGAGAGAGAGAGAGAGAGAGAGAGAGGGAGAGTTACATATTTTGGGTTGAGCAATCGTAGGTTTGATTTCCATCTTTTTGTGATAGGATTTGGTTTCTGTTTCGCTGTTTGGGTAATAGTTGTAGTAATTTGTTCCGATTGTGCAGCGTTTTGCATGCGATGGAATGAAAGAGAGACTGCCGCTCTGTAGAATCGCCACTATGGTGGGCAGTGGGGTTTCCTTGTGAGAAGGTGCAGATTAGTGGAAGTGGTTTTCCCTAAATCGCGAGGAGGCGGGTGGGTTTGCGGGGTCTTTGACCCCTGCCGTGCGGGAGGTAGGGTATCCGCTGAGACTTTGAATTTGGGTCAGATATTCGTTTCATCCTAATACGCTGCTGTTTGCTGTCATCTGTATTCTTAAGGAGAAGTGGTGAGCATTGCTGGGGCTTCGTCATGGGGGGAGGGGAAGCATCCGTAGGGGGTATATGCAGATTGAGGGAGAGGCTTACCCTAAATCGCGAGGAGGTGGGTGGGTTTCGCGGGCTTTTTAGCCCCTGCCGCGCGGGAGGTCGGGTAATCCCCTGGTTAGTGAAAACAGCATCGTGGTGGGAGTTGGTGTTTTTGTAAAGAAGAGCGTGGGGAGGTGCTATCCGCTTTGAATCGTGAGGAGGTGGGTGGGTTTGCGGGGTCTCTGTCAGCAGTTGGGGGCCTGAAGGCACAGACCCCTGCCCCGCGGGTGGTAGGGCGGGATTGGCAGGGGTTGGTAATAACTCCGGATGAATGGTGGACATGATCACGCAGGGCTGATCGATCGTTTCTTATTTGTGGTTTTTGATTCGTTTTTTCCGGTTTGTGGAATTTAGGTCACTAACTTAGGGTTGACATGACTATTGTGATTACGTTTTTAGTGATGAACTTTAGATGTTCTTAACTTCTTAGTATTTTCATTTCTTAGGAATAATTTAGATTGTGATGATAATTTTTGTTGACTTTTCGAGTCGATGGGGCTGTGGAGTTGGCTGTGGGGTTAAATCTAGTGGTGTCCTCTATGTGTATGGCCGATGATGACTTGCCCACTGAGGGCCCCACCTAATTTTGTAAGGGACGCCTCCCGGCTTTTATAAAGACATTGTTCTGTTGAAAAAAAAAAAAGAATACAGTCAAAAAAAAAATAAAAAAATAAAAAAAATTGTAGTATATCATCAGGCGATAGCTTAAATGGTGCGCCGGGGGGAAATTGACGGCGATCCCATTCTGAACCTAACTTAACTCTTATTGATTCAGCGCAGGACGTGGTTGTCAAAAAAAAAAAAAAAAAAAAAAGGGTTAGGGGTGCGTCGGGGAAATGGATGAGAGGAAGGGTGGGTGGGGCCTTCTGAGGGCTTCATCTGAATAACCAAGTGGCCGATTGATTACCTAGGGCGACTGTCAAGTATCTACCATCCAAACTCTACAACAACCTAATATTTTTCTTCTTATAAAAGATGAGAGAGAGAGAGAGAGAGAGAGAGAGAGAGAGAGAGAGAGAGAGAGAGAGAGAGAGAGAGAGAGAGAGAGAGAGAGAGAGAGAGAGA